GGAACTACTGTTGAATCCTTCTCGCGTTCAAATTGTAGACGAGCACCGCAGGGGGTAAGGCGGAGCACAAAAATACTCGCGTGCTTATCTTTCCCCTATGTGACCCCGGCTGGTGTGCTGGTGTCACCTATAATACAAAGAATAAAACGTCCTGGTCTCTGCTCGTGCCTTCAAACATCCGTACTCCTTGATTCCTTCCATGGTCACAGGCTACTACCCCCGAATGGTACTATATTTTAGTAGGAACAAACAAGAGACATCATGTTTTCGTCCCATCAGATACAGCTAGTGCCCGCACTCAAATTGAGGATCTACTGTTGGTCGAGGCTGGGGTTCTTAGGCAGAGTACAGTACACTAGTTCCTCTTGTGGGCTACAAATGGCCGCAATATAGGTTTTACTGTAGGGTTCTCAACCGGGCTTACAAATGGATCGTAAACAATANATGACCCTCAGAAAACACAAACTCATACAAACCAAAATGAAAACTCTTCAGCAAATCATAAACAGGAAAAACTCCCAAACCGTTTTCAGTCAGACCTCATCGCCGTGGGTGACATGCAGGGGAAAGAACGTCCAAAGAGAAAAGGGATTGATTCACACACGGAGCCAACAATTCCCGCTCGGCACCCGCAGTCAAACATAACCACAAGCAAAACTGAAACCCAGAATAAATGGGACCAAGTCGAAAACACACACATTTTGTACCACTGCAGCAGACCACATAGTGTACATACATCTTCTGGATCCAGTGTTGGCACATGGAGCCCCTTACTGCAGTTCGTTTTTGGCACCATGAATCCCACGCGAAATCACCCTCACCCATGCGTGATATGCACACATGTTTGCAGATATCCAGAGCCGGTGTTCATAATTAGTTCGGGAACAAGAGGCTGGGACCCGTCTGCATGTTCTGAGTTCTGAACAGACGTAGTGTAGTTGTCTGTGCATCGAGCGATGGTTGAACGCCGTGCTTGGTTGGCATTGGCACGGACGGATACGCAGGGAATGCATAGGACCACGAAGGTAGCAGCACGACCGGCCTGGTTGCGGTGATAGCTGCACCGTGAACTCCACAGTCTACATGGCCGTCCGGAATAAAACTTCAAGGAGAAACCAAACGAGGCAGACTACACGTACAATCTATCCTTCGCTTCCGCAAAACCGCGTTATTTACAGCCCACTAGCTACGCGCCTTGAGTCCTCGGCGGGCCTATACAGTAAATAGTAGACTAGACTAACCTTCGGGGTCTAGCGTGACAAGAAGTGCAGAGGGTTCGTGCGAGTTGCCGCTTGTGATGCCGAACGCAGCAGGCATCTCTTCACCAGCCGGCCCCGACGACGTCGAACGGTCAGGGTCAGGGCGGAAGGGTCGTTCCATGAACCTATCCCGCTCGTCCTGACTGGGCGTTGAGACTTTGAAACCGTTGGTGTCGTGCATGCCCGTGTTGGCAACTATATTCTACTACTAGCTGGCCTGTAGTTTCGAGGCTGGAGGACCAAACGATGGGAACAAAGCAACGGTGACAGGGATAGCGAGGCTGGGAAGTCACTGGAAGCAAGCGGCCGCTGGAAAATCTCGCAAATTCGTGACAAGCCGCTACCGTCTGGTACAACTTGTGCATGCATGTGATCATTTCCCGATAGGAACTTTGGGCGACAAGTAGTTCACACTCCTGTAGTCTATTCATGTCTGGTACGCATGCATATAACAGCAGTGAATCCGTCGCAAAACTGAGCAACTACTCTGTCAAAGAAAGCGCCTCAGAAAATCGGACTGCACGTTTGAGCATGGCGGTGGGGTTGGGGACTCGATAGACTCATCCGCTCGCTCTAGACTATAATAAGATTTTACACATGGCTCGTTTGCCTTTTTGGGTGGAAGTTAGCCTGTGGCCACGGGAATCGACCTCGTTAGTCTAAGTGTTAAGACTACAGTAGTACGGACAGAAGTAGGTACTGGGCAGAGGGAACGGAACGGTTTAAAATGTAGACTAACAACACACCAGAAACATGGCACAGGCCGGTACCTGCTGTGTCTGCTCACATACATATAGTCTAGTAGCGATACCTCGGAAAAGTGCTTGTGGTACAACACCACGTGCAACAACTTGAACGGCTATCGCCTCCATGAGTCAAATTCTTTCAATCTATTGCTCTCAAGGAAGCAGCTCTATTGTGTACCGAAGTCTCTAGAGAGGAGTGGTAGTCTTGGCCCGAGACGAACACACGCACGCGTAAAAACTTCTTGTGATGAACCTGTAATCCTCCATACAGGTAGTACTCCATATGATACATGTAGATGGGCGAGCACGAGCCGGGCACGGGCCGGGAACCAATCGTGGCACACATGTGTATGCCGCACTTTCGCGGGGCGTAGGGTTGGATGTCAAGGGGAATGATTTAGTGTGTTGGACAGGCCTAGCACAGCAGTGTGCACATTCTTTCTGACTCTTGGCACTCCTGGAGGTCGGCACAAAAAACAAAATCCCCCGCTTTAGCGGACAATTGGGACCAACTCGTCCCGAAGACATGTATGCACCAAGCGGCAGCGGCAGCGGTAGCGGCAGCAGCAGCGGCAGCACAGCACAACGGCGGGTTATCCAGTATTCCGCTCCGTACTTTCAAACCAGAGTATTTTCATAAGACGAAGGCGGTGTATTCTGCCTCCATCCACACCATCACATTTGCCGCGGCAGCCTGCTCAGCTTGCTGTTTAGAGTATTCGCCTGCTTTTCTGCCGACCACGCAAACGGAGCAAAGAACCGTAGCGTGTGACACGCGTACGTCTATCGCTCTCAACTTACAGTAATGCGTTTCGCTGTTTCCGCTCCTCCACGCAATGTAACTGATGGGTTTCTCTAGACAGTACAGCCTGAGAGCTACCACCGCGGTGCAGATCGACGTCGCATTTTATAAAAAATTGAACCAATTTTCGTCCCCCCCCCACCCGTTTTCTAGACGTTGAGGACGAACCTGTTGTTTCGTTGACTTGAGAGGACCGTTTTGGAAGAAGCGGAGACGAGCTGTGAAGCCGCACGTGCGATGCCGGTGTGGGTGTCCTTGTCGGAGGTTGGATGAAAACTTCGAAGATTGCTTTGCTGTCTTGCACAGGTCTGGTTGGCGTCGGGTGTAGCTGAAAGTCACGCAGACGGAGCTCTCTGGGCCGTGGCAGTGGCGAGAGCAGAGAGGCACGGAGGGGGGTCGCACACTTAGAATAAACCAACCAGGAGCGACAGTGAAATATGGAGATGTAACCATTTCGCAATATTGCAAAAGGGGAAAAATAACGTTCCGGGTTGTTCCCGGTTCAGTGTGTGACCGCGCTGAAATACATTCGGCAGAAGGCAGAGTCTAATCCAGAACATCGCGTTGTAATTGCTTGCCAGGATTCTTCGGTCAACCCGCCCGCCCGCCCACACCGCCTACCCTCCACACCGCCTGCCCTCCACACCGCCTACCCTCCACACAAAGAGTTACGGACAGGGAGGGAGAGCACGCCACCAACCGCCGCGTTGTTGGGCTGATCGTTGCCGACATTGGGGACTTCTTTATGTGCCGGAGGAACCGATGTGCTGGAGTCAGCGAGAGTCTTTCGAAGAATTAGCAGCAGCGCCTGGTACAAGGCACAACACATACATGCACATATATATTGGTCATGGGGAATGGCCACATGGTCCCATCCAGTGGGATAATTGACCGGCTTCCTCTGCTGTCTTGTCTTCTGTGGCGTGGGCAAAATAAGAATCATGTTGTCTTCTTCGTACAACTTCAACATATACACTTCGTCGTGCCGTGACGCGTGTTTGACCTTAGGGTCTCGTTCAACGACGGCAGCATGCAAACAAGCTGCCGGATTGTTTTGGTTTCGCAGCACAGCAGCAGTCGAGCACGTCTACACCAAGATCTCTGTTGCGACAATCCGGCGTACATGCCCTGTGTGAGACCCGTGTGGAGCTGCGATGTGTGTCTGTCGGTTTGCTGTAGCGAGTACACGTATGGCAGGGGTGGCCGCGCACTACTGCTTGTGGCAGTGCGGTCTCACGTCTCATGATGCCGATTCCGCCGCAAACAACAACTCACCGAGCTGGACCGCAGCGACAAATGACAGAAGGAAGCTGGTGACATGTGAGCCGTGGTCTTAACTTTTCTATAGAAGCGCAACACTCATCTCGTGCTTGCGTAGTCTGTGCAACCTTGTGTGGCGCTCTCGCTATCGTCTCTCGTCCGTAGAAAGAGACGTGTGCTGACACAAAAAGATGGACGCTCGTTCTTGCTGACGCAATCTGCGTACCTTGTTTGGGCCGACGACATGAACCAGCAGCAGCAGTACGGATCTATGAAGACCATTCATTCATGTCTCCACATCGAACATCAACTTCGAACACACGTAGTGCCTGGTGCTGGTACGTTGCCCTTTGATTTTTTCCTTTAGGCGGGTGCGGGAAGCGTCCTCCTTTATTTTTGTTTTTGTTTGTTTTTTTGATCGGTTTCCGAGGGCTCTTTTCTCGAACGGTCGGTGCGGTAGGATAGAGAGACCGGGATGGTTTTTAATGTGAAGACAACAACAACAACAACAACAATCAGTGACAAAATCTGCGAGGCAGCAACCGTTCCTCCGATTGGCTGAAACCAACAGTTTTTTGGCCAAGAAAGGTCCGAGGTCCGAGGGACGGGCCAGTGAATCTTGCAAAATCTCGATAATGGTTGGCCCGAGGGCATGCTTTGCGTTCACGGATCAACACTGGATATCGCTCCCATGCCGCGCGCAGCCCCTTTGCTCCAAACGTTCTGCGACTGAACCTATCACGTGCAGACCACCTACCAGCAGGTGACACCGAGAAGATTCAGTACGTTTTGGAATCTGTGGTTTGTGGAGGCGTGTTGGCATTCGGAAAAGCGGGGATCGAAGATAAATAGAGACAGCCCTGGTGTCAGAAAGTTTGTGTGCTCTCGCTGGGCGAGAGACAAGCAAGTGCATTTGAGAGAAGGAGAGGAGTAGCAGAGATAGCAGCTTTGAGGAGCAGCAAACACGGAGTGCCGCCTAGGATTTGATCGATTTTCCCGCCCACCCACACCTATCGCTCAAGAGAGGGGGGAGCATGGGGGGGTCTAATCGGTTTATTATGAGTAAGATGTGATTAGGCCAGAGGCCGAATCAATAGTCATGATAGTAGGGCAATCTTGGGAAGTTTGCAACGGGTTAGTCCGATAAGAAAACGTTGGGAGCAAGACGGCATTTTACCTGCGCTCTCAATACCACACTCCCGCCAGTTGCTGGCTATTATCCCTATCAAGTGTCTCCTCGATAATCGAGGCGACCATTGACAGGGATTACAGTCGTGGGCCCGGTTTAGCGGTTCCCTAATTAGCGGGATGCCCTGAATAGCGGTTACAAAATCTCGTGACACGACTGCACCCCGGTATAGAGGTTGTACAACCGCTAAACCGGTCGTGCCCTCAATAACGGTTAGACTATTGGACATGTTTTCAGCCACCAATAGCGGTTATCCGTTCAATTTTTGCGGGGACCTAGTGCGCGCTTCGCTTGCACATACTCACAGCACAGCGACATTGGTCAGCCTGTTAGCTGGTCGATGCTCGTAATGAAAATGACACAGCGACACACACACACACACACCAAACGACGCAGGGCTAGAGAAGAATTGCCGAAAATAGCTGAAAAAACGACGATGAGAGTGATGGTGGTGAAAGCAAGGAGGATGATGGTGAAAGCACTCCAAAACGAAGTCGAGTGCAAGGTAGCAGTTTTCCTCTGTTGCTACCGTTTCTGCCCTTAATCCGGGGAATAGCTTTTGCCTGCCCCATGCCGCCCCCGCACGGGGTCCCAGTTAATGACATAAGAAGTGTCTTGTGTTTTCAACCGCGCTGAGACTGACGACGACGCATTTTCATTGGTCAACCGTTTAGCGCGGTCGATGCTAATGATAAAGACACACCATGCGGCGCATGGATGGAGATCTGTGCAAGCTTCTAGATGCGGCCCTGAGTCCGAACGGCGCGCACGATTGTAAGGGTTGCCATGGCGGTCGCATACACGGCATGCGTCGGGAGTTGGAGGATCCGGATGACAACGAGATGCAACCGGCGTGCAACCAAGAAGGCGCCGAGTTCCCCTCACTTCTCAAAGTCGCCCAAGCGCCATGGAGGAAGGTGGCTCCCTGGCACCAGGCGCGCGGAAAGAAACAACCCGCGCTGCAGCTACACAACAACAGTCCCACACGCGGCTCTACTTTGGCTAGAAGCTCTAGGTTTTAAGCTTCTTGACCAGAAGGTAGCGCACTCAGAAATAGTTCGCACAGAAAGAGATCGCCGAAGCTTTGCAAAAACGGACGCGAATGACGAGGTTGTTGAAGGTTGTCCAGCATGTACATGGAGGGGCGTACTTCTTATGTTTTGCAGGCCTTAGCGGATAGACCATTGACCACGCGTCCTCGAGAGGACGGAGCATTGTTCCCACAGGGCCGATCACCGATGGCCAATCGTTCCTTTCTACTTTGCCAGAGTTGGCTCAAAAATGTCTTCCCTAGTCTGTTTATCCTAAAGATATCCCTTCCCGCCTTTTCAACACACCTCCTATGCCCCAGTACAGCTACCGTCCTTTTCTCTCTATGCCATGCCTCAAACATCTCCCTGTACGTCCCATGTATTTTTCCCAGCTCAGTCACGTACGCTTCCCCCTCCTTCTTGTACAACAGACATTCCGCGACTACATGAACACGGTCTTCGCATTCCAAGCCGCAATCACATTTAAACTCGTCGTCTTCGTCGTCTACCGTCCCATGTCTTCGTCGACTTTCTCGAAGGCCTATGTCCCCNTCCCACAGGGCCGATCACCGATGGCCAATCGTTCCTTTCTACTTTGCCAGAGTTGGCTCAAAAATGTCTTCCCTAGTCTGTTTATCCTAAAGATATCCCTTCCCGCCTTTTCAACACACCTCCTATGCCCCAGTACAGCTACCGTCCTTTTCTCTCTATGCCATGCCTCAAACATCTCCCTGTACGTCCCATGTATTTTTCCCAGCTCAGTCACGTACGCTTCCCCCTCCTTCTTGTACAACAGACATTCCGCGACTACATGAACACGGTCTTCGCATTCCAAGCCGCAATCACATTTAAACTCGTCGTCTTCGTCGTCTACCGTCCCATGTCTTCGTCGAC